GAGATTAAGTTCTCCATCAAAATAAAAATGACCAAAACCAAATGGTTGAACGAAAGCACCTAAATTTGCTGTTAAATTCCTCCTAAGAGTTACAAGACACTTTGTTTCAGGTACTTTCTCAAAAAAAATTAAATAATACAAACTATGAAAAGAAGAAAAAAGGTGAGGCACACAGCAAGATGAGTATGGCTGTTTTGAACAAAAAAGCAAAGGATATAAGAGCCCTACTCTTTCTCATATTACGTTCCCAAATCCAGTTTTGCAATCCAGTGCATTACAGATTATATCCTTAAAAAAAAAAAAAAGGGCCAATCTGTAGATTCAGAAAAGCTCCAGACACCCATCTTTTACATTCTGCTGTATTCCATGTCTAGTTTTTAGATAAAGCAATAGCTTTGCTATTTGTTATGACTTGCCATAAAAAAAAAAAGAAAAAAAGAAAAAAAAAAGTGGTTCTGTGCCTGTTCCAAGAAGCTGCCTACTCCTGGTAACCTTAGAGAAACGATATTGCCTATTTTCTCATCAAGTTGCAGTACTAAGCAGGTTTTCTGGCATATCTAAAGTTCTTCCGGTATCTCAAGATCTTTTAGCTTCAGGAAATATAAACTAATGCTCCAATGACTTTGCTTTTCACTTTGTTCTGATAGCAAGTTGAATGTGAAATTCAGAAACTCATATGAACTTTATCAGTTAAAGAAAGTAAGTTTCTATGTAACAATGAACAGAAGTGAATTATCATGGCTCAGAGCCAAATATGCATTCATTTATTTCTGTTAAAGTTTTGTCATGCTGTAATGCTATGTTTAAACCTTCACTGTACCTACAGGAGGCATAATAAGATGGAATTTCAAGGAACTAGAAATACGCTTGAAAGAGGATCTGTTGCTTTTGCCAACTTCCTTGTCTTCTACTCAGTACTTCCACTTACAAAGCGTCCTTCCATCTCTGAGTCATTTCAGCCTCAACTACATATTGCATCAGACTTCTGGAAAAAGCATTTCCATCCACTGGTCTGCTGATGAACAATCACTTCTTGGACAAGGATTGCTGTTCTAGCCTACGCCCAACAGGCCTTGTCAGTTGATGTGTTGACAAAGACAAAAACAAAACTAAAAACCTTCACCTAAAATGCATGAAATGTAAACATGAGCACTGTCACTAATATCTTAGTGATTAATAACTTTTGAAAACTACCCACCTTTATCAGTCTTCTAGAAGAAGAAACAAGACATTTACTCAAACCCAGCACATATTTGTCTATCTATTTATTTATATCTCTGTGTCACCACCTTCTTTTACTGATATTGAATACAGAGTGTAAGTGTGCATGATTCCATACATGTGCACTACCAGTGTATCTGTATTTTGGCAATCTGCTTTTATTTGCAAAATCTTTTCCAATTCATGTTAAATAGAAAGGGCTATTTACAGACAAAAAGATACAAAATGCTATGATGATGGCTTATCTTCAATGATGACTCTTCCTGACCATTACTCTCTAATGTTGATTCCTTCTGTCTTTTTTCCTTTCCAATTTTGTGGAGAAAAATTGCACTATCCTGAAAGAGGTCTTGTTACTATGTGATTTTCTGGACCATGACTAACCTCTTTGAATCTAGCTAGCTATTGCCTATCCCTCTTCTTTAACATCCCTTTGCTTTTTCTTCCATGGTTCTACATGATTGCTTACACCATTTATCTTATCCTGCCTCATATCTTTTTGTCCAAGTACCAAGTACTGCACACTCTGGGATTGTTTTCTACTCAAGATAAATAAATGTTGTCTTCCTCTCTCTGATTCTACCAGAATTCTGATTTTGGGTTAGGTTGCAACTCCATTTGCTCAGTTTTACTTTAAAGAACTGCTTCCTCCGTGATATTGCAATAAAGTACATGGATACAACGGTTTGGTAGAAAGGCATGTCCATGGACCAGACAGAAACAGTGACCAGCCACCACAGAAAGCCTTCAGAAGTACTTCCACTAGTTTGTTAAGGTGATAAAAATGTGCAGAAAATAACGCTTCAACATGGAAGTCTCATTTGAATTCACTTTTTCCCCCCCTTATTGATTAAAGGAAACAAAAAAATGCATTTAGAGAAACGTGGCCTTGTCAGTTTGTAGAGTGAGTTTACATCACCCCTCGCAGCTGCGTCCACATTGCAGCATGTTGCTGACACAGCAGTGCAAGGATAAGCAGGAAAAAGCACTCCCCAGCTTACACAACTTCATCAGCAAATCCTCCTGGTCTGAGTGCAGCTAAGTTAGCAGGGAAGAGCTGTTGTCAGCTTAGTTACTTATGTTTAGCATCAATCCATACTTTCCCACTTATCATCAGAAATAGTTCTTTTCCCAAAATGCACTTCACCTCCACAGAAAAGTCTACCTGTGTAACCATACCAGCACAGCTGCACCAGTAGAAGCTTTCCAGAATAGAGCTGAAAAGCAAATTGGTACTTGCTCACCACCTACCACACTAAACAAACATCTCAGCGTCTACTTTGTTCAAAACATTACTAGTGCAAGCAACAACACTCCTACTTTTGATCAGCCAAGAGCATGGCTTTACTTTAGAACACACTACACTTTAGAACACACAGAAAATTCCTGAGCATCTTCAATAAGATTTACCAACTGTACACAGTTACTTGATTCCAAAAAATGCTCAAGAAAAAAGAAAACAAAGGAGGGGGAAAAGGAAAAAAAAAAAAAGTTAAAAAAAGGGAAAAAGGGAAAAAAGAAAGGAGTCCACAAACCTCTCTGTAGCTCGATAAATTATTTGACCATACTGGCAACAGACCTCCTCCTAACTGTAAATTCTTTGCATACAAACAGCATGAAACAGGAAAAACACTACAGTAGACATTTTAATATTTCTTATTGCTCTGAAATAACAAAATTTACCATAAAAGTGGTACCTGAAAAATTACTGCCATCCGAGTAAGGCAGAGTTTAGTTGATGCCGATGTGCCAACTTTGAAATAGCTGGTCTGGATGTCTTGATGCTCTTGAAGATTGTCCTTGTCGTCTGCAGTAAGTGAGTCCCAGCAGTGACTGCAGTGTTATTGTGTTCCTTGAGTACACCTGGACTCTGGCAGATCTCCTCAAACAGAAAGAGTGGAACAGTGGAACCTGTGCAGAGCCTCAGCTGCCCACATCACATATCCATAACCGGAAAAGTTAAGCTAAAATACATGTTCAGACCACATTCTCCTTCCAAGTACTGTATTGCTTCTTGTGATACTCAGTCGGTACTATTTTGTAAGCCCTCTTCAAGGACATGCTCTTTGTGGTCAGATCACCTTGAGTTATGGGCATAAAGAATTGTACCCAACTTACATGATGAGGTCTTGAAAGGTTCCTCCTTCCAAATCCTTTGCATTTCCAGAATCTTGGCAACACAGGTTTGTGTCAGGGATAAAATAAAACATGGGGCAAGGAGAAAATACAAAAGTTAATAGAAAGGGAAGGGAAACAGTGTCCTTGACTACTTGAAAGTCAGCAGCACAGAGAGCCTAGTCCAGCTCTGTGTGACTTCAGCCCACAGGTCTGAACTGGCAGCAGCCCTCCACAATAGCAGACATTTGCAGTTCTTCTTGATACAAAAGTAGCCCCGTTTGCAGGTCAGACTTATTCACATGAACAACCAACGCAACAGTTAGTTGTTTCCAGCATAAAATTCGGCAACACATTAAAAGCTCAAACGCAAGGTAACATACACTGAATATAACGAAAGCTTAATAATGAAGTTAAGGTTGTAGTGATCTGATTACATAACTCAGCAAAACCTCCTCTGCTAAACTGAAGTTCCACGTGGCTGCACCAGACTGACACAAAAGTTAAATGGCGTCACTTCAGAATCCAGGTCAGCTGTCACAAGGATGACAGATGGCTGGGACTGTCTAGACTGAGTCTAACTACGTTTCCCTTTGACAAATATCAACAATGAACAAATGAAAAGAACTGAAGCACAGTTTTAACATCCATATTCATGCTAATGGTAGAATGTGTGCTTTATGGATTTCTCACCTTTTTGAGTCACAACTGAAAATACCTCATTTTTGTATTTTACCAGCAGCAGATCTAATTTAAATTTATTTTGCTCCCACCAAGCAAAGTTCCACTCATGACCTTGCAGATTCCACTTTACTTTAGCTAATAGACATAGATCATATTACATTTATGTATATGTTTCTTGTGTATTTCATTAATGCTGATAAAACTCGAGTTCCAGAATCTGTAAGAGGGGTCCTATTTAAAGGACACAAATAGAGAAGATGATACTACCCATCTATAAGTATCATTTTATTTTTGTCAGTTCCTTAGAAGTAAAAATCCCAAAAGCAAATCCCACAAGGGACAGAAACCCCCTGTAACTCAGCACTGTTTTCTCAGAAGTCACACTCCAAAGAACAACATTAACCCATGCCTATTTTGTTGGCAGAAGTGATTTATCCTGGGACCAGAATTGCTGAGAAATATACAAATGAACCCCTCAGCCTCGTACTATCCCAAAGCCAAAAATGAAGTGGGTACAATGACCAGAGAACTTTAAAATAGAGAAAGATTAAAGCCGCCACCCAGTAACTGGCTCAATAATTGGAAATAATCGTAAAAGGTAAAGTGGGAAAAAATATGATGGACTTTGTTATAAACCGATGTCCTCTTCCATTAAAGTTTCCTTCCACGGACGTAAAGTGAGTTTTGCACTTCTTTCTAAGGAGTACGCTGAAGAATTAGTCTGTATGATTCCATCGAAAGGGATTAAAGTCTAAACACATTCGGAATGCCACGATGTGAACCCTGACTCGTGGGGACACTTTGGAACCACGGGAACCGCGGCGGAACCTCCGGGCCGGGGTTGGGGTCGGGCCGGGGCCGCCACCGCCCGCCCCCCGCGCCCCTTTGCTGCGATTGGCCCGTCCGGCCCCGCCCGGCAGCAATCTCACTTCTGACTGGATTAATCTTCCGAGCTGCTCCGGGGGGCGAATGAGGAGCGGCGTTGTTTTGCCGTGCCAAGATGGCGGCGCGCAGTGCCGCTCCTGTGGAGGGCCATGGCGGGGAGTGAAGCCTGAGGCGGCGGCGCCGGGCCGGGGCCGCCGACGGGGATGAGGTGACGCCGCCATGGCGAGCGACAGCGGCAGAAAGCAGTTCTGGAAGCGGAGCGGTGCGAAGGTGCCGGGAAGGTGAGCCGCGCCGCGGGAAGGTCGGGGCGCCGGCCGGTGGTGCTGGACCGCGGGGGGCAGCGCTGCCTGGGCTCGGCCGTCCGGCCTCGCTGCCTCCACCGCACCGCGGTCCTACTGTCCGGATCGGCGGGACCCCCGCGCGTCCCGTGTGTGCCCCTGCACGGGCCGTGCGCGGTCGGCTCCTGCTCGAACCCGGTGCCTTGAGAGCTCCGCGCTCGGAGCCTCCCGGCGCGGAGGTCTCCCGGGAGCCTGGGGAGATGTTTGGGGTCGCAGTAAGGGTTAGTTATAACTTGTGTCAGAAGTTGTTAAATAACTATCTGAATGTGCGCTCCCAGCCTTCCGTTGTGGTTAAAAGAGTCAGCGCGATTCTGGGGATGTGTTCGCCGGGGTATTCTGGGCGGGATAGTGTGTTTGGCTCTCGGCAGCGATACAACTCAGGATGTTTTGAAACTTCGTACAAGTTGTGGTGTTTTTGAAATGCTTTGCAGGAAAATGTATTTTCTAGGCATAGGGACAGCTTTTAGTTTCTGCCGGATATTTCCAAATATCATCAGTTTCTCGACTTTCTTCCTGAAGCATGAGGAGCAGACCAGTCCTTGTATCATTGCAAAGTTGTCCCATTCAAAGTTTTCCAGACAATACACCCCCAAAGCCTCCTTAACTCTTTTGACCATTACGTCAGGTTGGGAATGTGTATTCAGATGATTGGTTAGTGATAACGTTTTCTGCTCTCATTCCCAAACTGTTCTCACAGTGCAGTTTTTTATGTTGTTTTTGTAAGAATGGTGCGTATTTGTGGTTCTCAAAGAAGGGTAGCTCTGCGCTTCGTGCCATTTACCTGAATTCAGCAATGCGGTCCTGCTCATCATTTACCTTGCTGGTTTTCAGAGACCCATAAGCCCTGACTGGAAGTTTCTTACGTTATAAACTAACCTTTTCAGTCCAACTGTTGTTGTTCCTCTAAATCTTTTACTTAGTATCTTTGCTGACTCCCTTGAGTGAAACACTTTTGATTCTCCTCCATTGCTCGGGGTCTATGAACAGTTGCTGTTAGTTTGCAGGCAACTGCAGGCATGTGGCAAAACAGGGACACTGTAGAGAATGTGCTTTTGATTTTTATTTCTTTTTTTTTTTTTTTATGGCATGGAGAGGATTGTTGTTGCTTTATATTTGTGTGGATTTCCATTGTCGGTATTCATAGAGCAGTGTAAGGAAAAGGCAGATTTTGTGTGGAAATGGACAGTGGCCCTGAGCCTCATGAGAAGGTAGAGCAAGAAGCACAGAGACTTGACTATGGAGTGTATGGAATACAGTCACGTGGAAAGGCTGGTGCTGGACTGACATTTTTATTTCCATGGAATCACATAAAAATCATCAGAGTTTTTATAAACCACCCTTCTCAGTCATTGCCAGAACTAATTTCATTAGTGTTGATGCTGCCTCTGTCCTGTGAGTCCAAGCCTCTCTTAAAATTTGTTATGACTGCAGTCTTTTTGGCTTGGTTTTATCTCAGGTTTACTAAGGTTGGTCTTATTTATATTTCTGGTCTGGAGAGATTGTTATTTATTTGTCAGGAGAACATGTTTGTCTTTCATGTGTTTTTTGGTACGGCTGTAGGTATATGCTAATGTTGCATATGATTTGCTTCTTTTACAATCAGAGTTTTGCAGTAATAATTGCGATTATGAAGTCACATGTAAATCTTGATGTGTTTTCTGGGGAATTTTTTTAGTTACAAAATAGTTTTATAACTGATAACTGGGAGATAATGAACTTTTAGTTTGTAGGGAGTTTTGTTTTCCACACAATAATATGCTGTTTTATAATGTTAGAGACTGTAGTGAATAAATATATCTTTGGAAGCCTATATGTTTCAAAGCATTTTTTAATACCTCCATGGCTTTTATTCTTTACCATGACACCTTTTGCATTTTTCTTTGAATTTATCATCTGTTTACTTTAGTAATGGTTAAGAATTGTCTGGTTGGATTTTGGGTGACAAGGGTACACAGAAGATTAAATCTTTACAGATATTTCTTTGAGAATTTTAATTTTTTCTGCAAGAGACAAATGAAGAAATGATAGAGAGGGGAATTTTAAAGCAGTATAGATTCTTATTGCAGACTTAACTTATTTCTTGTTCTAATTCCTGGTCAGAAAAATAAGATAGACTAAGTTAGTTTAGGTCTCACAAAGAGCTCCTATTTGGCAAGTCTGTGACTTTTATTAAGTAACATTTTAGTATGTGCATTAATTGCATCTTCACTATTTTTGGTGGTATGTGGACTTCTTTGGAACAGAAAACTGTTGCAACATTTCAGTTCTGTTTATTATTGACTGCTTAATACACAGAAACTCTCCAATATTTATGAGTTTTATGATAACTCTCTTTCTTTTTCTTTAGTATTCAACATGTGTATGGAGCTCAGCATCCACCTTTTGATCCGTTATTGCATGGAACGTAAGTTAATCTATTATTTAAATATTCCAGGTATTTTGGATTTCCAGGTATTTTGTGTTCTCTTTTTTTTTTTTTTTTTTTTTTTCCCTTCCCTGTTGGCTACAAAGTTTGTTGTTAATCTTACTTTTTCAGTTTTAGTCATAACCTTGACTTCCCTGTTCTGACTTCTCTTTTGTGACTTCCTGATGCTTACCACATTGGGAGCAACAAATCAGCTCTTCAGCTCTCAACTAACATAGATTGCCAACTTTTACTATTTATTTCAAATGCCTTATACATGGGAAATTATTACCCTAAAAATAAGGACAAAAATAAGTGTTATAAGGACAAATATTGGTTTTGAAGCACCTTGTGCTTCTACTAGATTTTTTTTCAAGGGCTGTTTTAAAATGGTACAAGAAGTAAAAATTCTGGTTAATTTTCACATAACACAGAGTTGAAGGCGGTTGAAATGTGTGATTTTGAGGGCTGAAGTAAAAGAAATGGGATTAATTCATTCAAAATACAGACTTATAAAGAGTAACGAAAATTAGAAGCTTATTGCTTGAAATGGCAGAATTGGAGAAAGACCTTGTGCTTTAGACAGTGATGACAAGTTGGGAAAAGGTGTAAGTGTTGTAGCACCTTTTAGGGAAGATATTCCCTGTAACATGTAACAGAAGTGCTACTGACGTTGTATGAGGACTGCATGAGAGCTTTTTTCTGAGTTGCAATTCTACCTACCTTAACAGAAAAAATGATAAACTAGCACAGGTGGGAAGACAGGGATGGTCAGAAACATACTCAAGAACGGTATTGCCACAATTCCGTGCCATGTGTTCAGGATGACCCTGCTTGAGCAGGGAGGTTGGGCCGGATGACCCGCTGTGGTCCCTTCCATCCTGACCCATTCTGTGAAAGCACAGTTAAGCTACTGGCAGTAACTTTTTTATTTTTTGAGAGCAGACTAAGAAACCTTCTGAATTTTATACTTTATGCACTGAATTCTGAAGGAAGATGTGGTTGCTCTGCATTATTGTCAGTGAGAACGAGTGCCAGGCAAGGGAGGGATATTGGTTCATATCTCACACTGCATGTTGATAGAGGGACGAAAGGTTAGGAGCTGATCAGGGTCCACTTAGACTGGTAACTAAAGGAGATATCTTGCCTGTGGGGAGAGCAAAGTTCTGAAGCAAATCCACGCTGGCGTGCCTGAATGGGGAGGAATGATAGACCTAATGAGTTTTAAGGTGAGACTTGATTTGTTTATGACAGTGGTTGTATTGCATGATTGCTTATGATGACTTAGGAGTAGGCCATGACTGGATTATGGCTCCTGTGCTGTTATACAGCAGTTGCATTGAAAGGGATGAAACCTCTGCAGAAATTTATGAAGCAAGAGCAGTGCAATGTGTCCTGTCTCTTTTGTAAGCTATTCTAGTAGTAATCCTTTTATTTGACTTGGAGGTTGGTCTTTTTTTTGTTTTGTTTTCTTAGCACAAGGAAAGGAAAGATTTGTTCAGCTTCTATTCAAAGTGAAGAAGAGTCAGTTTTTACAGCCCTTGTTCTCAGACTTCTTCAGCTGTGTTATCATGGATGGATGTAGGAGTAACATGAGTGGAGTGAGATAAATATTTGCTACTTATATAGTATCAAGTGTGTACTTTTGCTTTTTAGTCCTATCCATAGCTTCATTACTAGTTTTCTAAATATTGTTTATTTGGTTTTAAACAGCTTGGTAAAACCAGGTTCAAAGCCTCCTACAACTCCAGTGAAACTGAAGAAAGTCAGCACCTTCCAAGAATTTGAAAGTAACACAAGTGATGCCTGGGATCTTGGGGATGATGATGATGAACTGTTAGCAATAGCTGCTGAAAACTTGAATACAGAAGTGGTCATGGAAACAGCTCACAAAGTAATTCAGAATCACAGCAAGCTACAAGAACAGCATAAATTTCAGGAAGAACATCTACAGGAAGAAAAACAAGAGGAATTCGCACAACTGACTTCAGTTGCATGTGGTGATAATAGGCTTGTTAAATCAGTCAGTGAAGGTCATACAGCGAGCGCATCAGGTATATTAAAAAGTGAAAAAGATGTTGAAAGTTAAATGAAGAGGGCTATAATATTTACCTTGTAGAACAGTAGCCACTTCCAACATTTTCTTAATACCACAGGAAAATACTGTTTATTAACATTGATTTATCTGAGGGAGAGACTGCATGCCATACTAAACCGTAATGAATGTATGTGAGAAATACATGTGTGAGGCAAGAATAATTAAACATCCTTTGTTTTCAGCCTTAATAAATCTTCAGTTTTGGAAAGAAGTTCCACTATTTAATGTATTTTATTAGTTGGATGCACCAAGATTTATGCAATTAATACTAACACTAATGTAAAAAAATTGTTATTAAAATAGTACTGTATAAAATATATTGAAAAATTGGAGAAAATCATGCAAGTGGACTGGGAAATTCGCTCTCGTGATCTGGTCCATGGTTTATGTAAAGTAAACAATTGCAATGATTTCTCAGGGTTTTTTTGTCAATTTGTTTTTTTTTAAAGAATGGCAAGGGGAATATGAGCAGCTTTTGGTAACATAGAGATTTTAGAAATCCATTAGCCTTGATGTTAGTACAATCTCTAATTGATGTGTTTTTGTTGTGGAATACTGCTTGAAAGAGAAATGATGCTTCTGCTATATCCAAGTAATTTGAAGTCAAGGATTATTCTGTACTTGAGTTTGTATTTTTCGAAAACAGAATTCAACTGATTAGTAGCCTTCTTACGAGCTGTGGCAAACTGCTATGCTTCTTTTTCCCTTCAGATAATGCAAGTGAAAGTTCTTCCATGCAGAGATCGCAGTCGCTTCCACAAACTTCCGCATCTCCTTTGGTGAGTGGAATAGGAGACTACAACACCTCAGTTACCTCTGCATTAACTGAAAGAGAAGCATCCCGATTAGACAAATTTAAGCAACTACTTGCTGGCCCCAATACAGATCTTGGTGAGTGTTTTTTATAGGAGATGTGAAATATATCTAAATTATTCTTAAGCTATAAAATTTTCCTGTTTGATGTGCTGTTCTGCCTGACTGTTTGGTTAGGATCTAATCCTTTCAACATTTAGAATTGATCTTGCGAAAGAAAGAATAAAATTGAAAGCTTCTAGTATTCACACTTCTAGTAAGTGATTTGTGTACGTTCCTTCTAATATGTAGGGTGTTTGATGGCTTCTTGTTCTTTCTCACATTATTTCTTCCTGTGAGACTAATCTCTGGAGAAAAAAACCCAAAGTATAATTAGGTGTGTGTATTGTTAATGCTTGATAATGGAACAGCGTGGAGTATAAGGGTGATTTTCATGCTTAGAAATAAACAGGAATGTGAGAGACGATGAGGCATGTAAGTATTGCTGCTTGTCTACTCAGTGAGCATTCTTCATGTTCACAGGCTGATACAGTAGTTCCGTGTCTCATCTGTGAGTGCTGACAACATGCTAATGTGAAAACAAATGTATTGTCAGATAACTTGACTGTTCCCTTTGTGCACTGGATTTTAGCTGCTGAATAGTCAATACAAGTGCTGAGAGGGTATCACAGAATCAAATGCCTTTGTATCCCAAGTGAAAATCTGGAGTAAGTAGAATTAGTGCAGTGCATTTGGAGAACTTTATGGTTAGAAGGAGAAATTTATGTCAAAATAATTAATAGAGAAAATGTCTTTGAAGTAGATCAGTCTGGAAGATATCTGCAGGATATCTACTACGGAAGGAAGTAGAAATTCCATGTTTGCAGGTCTTGAATTGGTGTCTCCTGCTCAGTAGTTGTCATGGGACTTCTTCAGTGTAATATAGTCCAAGCTGTGGCTTTTCTTTTTTCTTTTTGTGCTGTGTCTTACTGTGAGATTGATGCTAGCAAGGTAGAACCGTGGAAATAATTCGAACTGGATGAGACTTAGCATTTCAGTGAGTTATAGGACATTGTTATGAAATGCAACTGTGAATAAAGTGAGGTGTTAAAACATTAAATATTTTTCATAAGCTTGAAAATGATAATCAAATATCACTTTTTCTCCCTTTGATCTAACAGATGTTATGAGTTATGTGACTGTGGCTGACATGAAAACTCATAATTTTAAAGAATATTGTATTGATAGAAATCTTTGTTGCATAAAGTCGCAAAGTCAGAGGGAAGACAAAGTTCAGTTTAAAACTATCCATTTCACTTTTGCTGTCTAATTAGTTGGGAATACTTTCCCAGTAAATCAGATTTATGGATTAAAGTAAAGTAATTTTGCATGAAAATTTCCACTCTTAGTAGGAGTGCAGTCACCCTGCTGATGGTGAGCTTAGTCAATGCTATTTAAACAAACTGGGTTTGTTTGTTTTTATTTCCTATTGAACTTGATAAATCTCACACTGAAATGTAGGATATGAAATCTGAGTATGTTTTCTTGATATTAAAATGAAAAATATTTAGTAAGCTCTCAATATTCTTTCCTGTACAAATCACTAAATAATGCCTTTTCTAGGTCTATTTTTAGGAAGCTTGTCCTTTCTCTTGCTGTGCGAACTAATCAATACAGAATTTGAAGTTGTGTGAATAGAATTTTAAACCTGGTTTTGTTTTTTTTGATGCAAATAATTTTACTTTTCTATCTGGAATATATCCAGTAGCGTGCATAGATATATATGCATATATATATAAAAATTATTTTTCTTAGTGAAAGAAATAAATTTTATTGATTGCATGCAAACTCTTGATCATGAAGCTATTACGAGCAGATCATATGTGATAGTAGTGCTTGGACTACATTACTGGTATATATTAGGGAAAGTGTCTATGCATGTAAACATACAAATATGTATATATTTATTACCATATATACAGTTCATTAGAATCTGGAATGTACCTGTGTATATGCATTTTTAATGTATGCATTTGTGAAAGATGCTTGGTTTAGCTGTCTGCTACAATGAAGACTGTATTTAAAAAGGGTTCTTGATTTATAATGACAACAGTAGCCTGGAAAACTGTTGAGCATTATGAGTGGTGGTTTTTTATTTCTTGTTGGAGTCTGTTTTTTTTTTTTTCCTGTTTTTCTTCAGAGCAATACTGCCCATGGACTAAGGTAGAACTAGGCAACAGGCTCTGAGCTAAAATTTGTACTGAATAACGTAGGGGCAGAGCTGTTCCATTGCAACTGGCTTATTCTATTTGTGTATGTGTGATGTTGTGGTATTTGGAGGTCTGTGTTGTGTTAGACCTACAGATAGTTGGGTTTTGTTTGTCATGATGAACTGAACTAGTAAGACTTGGAGACATTTTTGCAAGTATTTCTGTTCATTTCTGCAAGTATTAGTATTTGTTTTGCTTAGAAGTAAGAGAAGCAAAGTATTTCTTCTGTCTTTGTTTCCTTTATATAGTTTTGCATGTTGTTGGAATAGTTTACTTGACAAAGTCCTTCCAAAGCAGTATAAAATACAGTTCATCTGTGGAACTGTAGCCATGTCATGCACATTTTCAACTCAAGACTTTTCGTTTATCATAATGTAAGAAATCAACTTTAACTATGAACACAAAGTAATAAAAATGACCTTGAAATCCTTTCAGTCACAGTTGAATGATCATTATCCTGTAAAGACGGTGTAAAATGCAGTGTTAGTCTTGTTTGTCGACTAGAGGTTGTGAAAGGGATGCGTTCTTTCACAAGA